TTATGAGTCTGTACATTTTATATTTCGCAGAGGAAATTGCATTTTCACACTCATTTCGAGTATAGTTACCTTTAACCTTAATGATGACTTACGGCAGCAAAAATACCGAAAGTTGCGCAACACCTTTGGTCATTTGTTCTGGCGGAGACAACGTTCAGTGGGTATTTGTTTGATTGCTTATCCAGTGTTTATTCTTCCTGGTTGAGAATTGGACCTTTCCCTGATAGTTTGTTGAGATATGCAGATACATTCCTAGGACGCTGGACCTCTGGAAAGCAGACCATTCACTTGGGCAAGATTTGTATTTTCGCGTGAGAACGGAATTCGGTCAGGTTAGTAATAATATTAAACTAGAGCTTATCTGTCTACTGCTAATAGAACAGATGGCCTTTTCGGCTCTTGAAATTTGACCAATTAAAGCTATAGCATAAACCTTGTGGTGAAATGATTTGATCATGCCCATAAAGGTTCAAGTTTGGAACCTAATCATACATGCACTTCAAGGAACATCACTATAAACTTTCAACACCGTGAAAATGCAGTTTTACCATTAAATCACCCTGAAATCATTGTCAAGGCAATGTAAGCCCGTTTTCACGGTGGAAAGTTGGTCAGCTTGGGAGCGGATTAGCTCACAGCAGTTTCACGGCCTTTTCACGTCAACATCTTGGTAGCTGATGGTCCTATTTTTATTCATAATGGTACATCGGTCCAGTTTCCCACCGTGGAAGGTGTGAAAACAGCGGATTAACTGTCGAAGCGTAATAAAAGATTAGTGTGATAGACAGCCAGGAATTTGCGCAGCAGTTACCAACAAAAGGTGCGATTGAATACCCCCGTTTAGGTTTGGAGTGTAAACTCCTCGCTCATCACGAACTCAACGGACCATACTGTAACGGATCCACTGTCGCGTCAGCCCTTGACACTCATGCCTCATGGGCGCTCAATCTTAACGATGCTCTGCTGGCACGGGGCCACTAAAAATTCATTGAGCCACAGCATTCTCCAAATCAATGGCCCAACCGGCAGTGGTCATTTGAGGAACACACATTTTCAAAACTTTCCTCACATTTAATGACTCGTGTTTTAAATCACCGGCGCCGCACTTTCAAGTTCACGGTATAATTCCACAGCCTGAACAGTTGTGATTGCCTGCTGAATGTACGAGGCTTATGTGCTACATATAAACGTAGCTAGCGCGCAGCGCGACTGTTCATTGCACGGTCGACAGTCGTGCATACGGCTCATACTCTTGCAAATGACCTGAGTAGATGTTGGCTGGTATAATTTTCTAACAATGCCAGTTTACTTACATTCCTTCCTAGTTTTATATATTCCTTTGCATGGTGCTACCGCAAGCCTTTCCACCTATTGCTGTCTTTCTCACCATGACTAGCCTGAAATTTCGTCCAATGCCAGTTTAACGTCCTCTCCCACGGACACCAATGAAACCTTTAGTGAGGTCGTGTCGTGTTGCACCTCAGGCCGATCAAGCAACATATATGTAACCTCAAATTAAATTTATGAACACAAAAAATACGTATATGCCCAGCAAGAAATGAGACCGAGGGGTACCCCCCAACATGTCCAATCCCTATACACATTCCAGATTATTGTTACTTAACACCCCCCCCCCAGATGTCTGAAAGGAATTCCCCAGATTCCTGCGAGACAATGACCGACACAAAGCGGGGGGGGTCTCATACCTTGCTGCATATGACAGTGAATTGCACAACGCTATTTTAATGCATGGACTTGTTGCCGCGTTGCCGTCACACCTTTTTGGCAGTAGCACGGCGCAGCGGGAACCAGCGGAAACTTTGCATGAAGCAATATTGCGTGCGTGTTTTCAAAACCGTGATAGCAAAATGCGAAGGGAACATGTGAAAACCACAAAACTTTCTTTCCACATGTTGTGAATGTAAAGCAGGTGTTTTGTGAAGACAGGATGCTGTCTTTCCTAGAAAAGACAGGAAGGATTTTTTCCTGTTTTGAGCTGTGAGAAGAGATGGATACACGTACGATGGCTCAAATTTGCTGGATGCAGCTGAAAAGTTGATAAGCACATTTTGCTTATGTAGAACCATGGAGGAAGTACACAAGTGTTTTTTTTTCAGCCCTAAAATGTGACACGATTCATAAAATTCCACAAAACTAGGTGTTAGATGTCACAACACCCCCCGACCCTTTTGTGGGCAAAAGGCACATTGAGTGGTGAAGTTACCACACCGAATTATGGAATTGCCAAAAGACTGTGAAACTGTATACAAAGTGGTGGAATAACAAAGCCGACAATGTAGCATCAGAGCGAGGGTAGTAACGGCGTGCACATCATTGTCCAATCCAGCAAGCGCAGTGTACATATGACATTGTGCATGGACAGGGTTTGCCCGTAACGTTTTTCTCACTTGCCAGCCGGACCTGCAGTGATGGCTTTTTACTTGTCTATAAGCAGAATTTTCACTAGTCCGCGTCTTCCCCCAAATTTCAACATTCTTTTTGGCACTAGTGTTTTCTGCTCGAACATCATGCATAACAGTGTGCACTCGGTGCTGACTGTTGTTTTATTGTCGACGAGTAATCATAAATGGCCATGGGAATTATGAATTTCCAGAATATTCTAACTTTTCTCAAGCAAATTAAATATAAATCACAGATATGCCAGAAAATTGAAATAAATGTTTCTGTGAGGTGACATAATTCGTGGGGAGTCGTTTTGCTGAAGTCCCGACAATGTCCTCATTCAGCTACAGGCCATGATGTAGTGTATGAACAACCTGGCCGGGATTACATGTACATTGCAAGGGTGCGAACATAGTGATTGGGGTGTTCAGTGTACATTTACACCTGTCACCCCTACAGTAAGAAGAAAGGTAATGGTACTTTTTATGAGGGATTCAGATAATGGGTCCGTAAAGCATTTACAGGATTAGTCTCACCGCAAAGTTAATGAGGAAGGCTCCCTAGATGGGCTCACTGCATTTTCACAGTGTTTTCACTTGACCTCAAGGTGTTGGCAAGGGGTCACAACCGGGATTATTTTCACGGTGTTTTCCTTTCCTGCCGCTTTAATGTCACGTGACATGATTATCTGATGACGTCGTCATCACGTAAGGTCTCTATAATTCTTCCCTTTCAAAACACCTGGCAAGTTTCAACTCAATGGGACATGTACTTCAGGAGATATAGTACTTTAAAGGATGCACATTTAATATCAGATGTTTTGTCACTTAATGACGTCATCATCAGATGAGGTCAATGTTTGCCTAAAGCACTTCCTTTCCAAGATATCTGCAAGGTTTGAACCCAATTGAACATATACTGCAGGAGATATAATAATTTAAAGTATGCACCTTTAATGTCACGAGACTTATTGTTCGATGACATATCATCACTAAATGAGCTCAATATTTGCCCAAAGCACTTTCTTTCCAAGATATAAGTAAATTTTCACCCCAGCACTGACACCAACGGACTAATTCCATAGAAAAATAAAGAAAAAAGGTAAATACCTATTACCACTTTTAAACAATAAGCCTACTTCCGGTTTCAGCCGGAAAGAAGGGTCATGTGATTTGACCCACACAAACTGAATTGAAGGCCGAATGTATACTCTGGCACTTGGCCCAAAACTTGTTGCGGGAAGCCACGGTTTATTTTATATGAATTTTTAAATTTTAACAGAATATATAAATATTCAACATTTAATAATAAGTGAAATGATGAAGTCATCATGACGTCATTTATTTACAATAATTGTTGCATCAGGGTCTTTGTTGGCTGTCACGTTGATAACGAACAAACATCGCCAAGGTTTCAAAACATGGTTTGAAAACGTGTACAAAGACAACGGGCCATAAACTCGTTTGCAGAAACACTGTTCCTTTAAGTTCATGTCACGTTTTTTGCGCTTAAACTGAACAATTTTTTCTGAAATATTACTTCCTATTGGGACTCTTAAGCATATTTCAAATCAAATAAGAGACTGTAAGGTACCCAATTTGCCTTTCGTTCTTATAGTAATGTTGAGCCGAAGTAAAGGACTAGTAGTTCAATTGTGTTAATTAGAAAAACGTGTTCAAAACATATGGGGAAAAATAAAATATTTAAAATCGATACAAAATAGGGAGTTGACGTCATCATGGCATCGTTCATTTTCAATAAATCTTGCATCAGGGTCTTTATTTTGAATCAAATAACACAGCGTCAAGTACCCGATTTCTCTTTTGTTCTTAAAGTAATCTTGAGCTGAAAGAAAGGAGTACTCAGTTAATATTGATAAGTTGAAAAACGTTTAGAAAATCTCTGGGGAAAATTAAATCTTCAAAAATCAATGTAAAATAAGGCGATGCCGTCATCATGACTTCATAAACTAGGCTTATATTTTGCATTATGGTCTTTGCCGGCTGTCACTTTGATGACGAATGAAGATCACCAAGT